GACGTCATCGCCCTGTGCGTGCGAACACTTATTATCTTGCACGAAAGCCATGCTCCCGTCTTAGGGTAAGTGACGTGACTGTTCAATTCCCGAAGACCGAGAAAACAAAATGTCCTTCCTCTCGAGTGGGTCGGCCCCCCTGAGATCCTGCATAGCGTTCAGCATGATCCTTTTGGACCATAGATTCCATATTAACCTGACAGTGATAAAAAACTCCTGACGAACACCTGCAGTAATATCACAAAAGATAAACCTCAGTCTCGATAGCCCACGATCTTACTCAAAGCATAACACTATCAGGTTCAATGTTTCTTCTTACCTCTTCGGAAACATACAATGACCTGACTAGAACAGAGAGCTTCAAAGCTATTTCACTAATTGTAGTAGAGACAGGATACAGACGAAGGGTATACAAAACCCTTTATTTTTTTCTTTATATACAATGACTTCCGTACTTCGGATACAATGACCCTCACTCGGGGTCTAACTTAAAAGATTCAAAATAAACTAACTCTATTTAACTTTAGAATAAGATTGGCCTTAAATACAGGAAGCGTATGTAGCACAGGACTGTGAACTACAATACGTTAATTTATCAAGAGGATTAAAACCTCTGGCCTGGAAGGCAAAGTAGCACCTCTAACTTCTAGGTAAGCGGCCTGCTTCGAATCACGGCTTTCTCTTTGCTTGGCAAAAAGGCCACACTTAAATACTGGTTCGCCAGACAACTTTGCATAAACTCCTCACGCTTATAATTCTGGCCGGAAGTAGAAATAGAAGTGATAGTAAAGATTTAAAATAAAAAACGTTGTAAACTTAAGATCCTTTTTACACAATTAAGAGAGAATAATGTAGAAACTCATCCAGATGAACAATAATTACCATAGAACATAGGGTCGCATTCCACTGAGAGAAATTAGTAGAAACAGTTGCCACCACTGGCAAATAAAACGGCCCTTATCCGGTTAGGCACGGAGTCGAACTGAGCTTGGATGACAGAAACGGGCAACTCATTCCATGCTGCTTCAAGTCTATGCCACACTTCATCAACCGTGTAAGCTGGAGATGGATGGCGGGCCAGTCTCTCAGCAACCCATGACCAGATATTTTCAATGGGGGACAAATCTGGAGACCACGCAGATTTGTCGATACTCTGTGTATCGAGAAAGAACACGACATACAACAAGTGTTCTTGCATTATCTTGTTTGGAAAATGGTCTCGTTTTTGAACCAAGTGTCGAAGATAGGCCACAACCACTGGACGTAAGATGTCAGAAATGTACCGATCTGCGTTTAAATTTCTTTCGATCCGAAGTAGAGATGTGCGTGCTGCCCAAATCATCACATCAGATGCACAGCCCCTATGCCAATATCGAATGCAAGCAGGCGATGTGCGGTCTACTTGGAGCCTCCAGACACGCATACGGCCAACAGAATACTACTGCACGCAGATCCGGGATTCGTCTGAAAAGATTGCATTTTGCCATTCCTGTATTCAGCGTTGTCATTAAGCGCACCAGAGTCGCCGTCTCTCTCTATGCTGCACTGTCAAGGGAAGCCGAAATAATGGTCACCGTGCTGATAGACCACGCCGCTGCAAACTTTGACGGATACTGGGCGTGCTGAAAACTTGTCCATTTCCTGACTAATGGTCCGTTATGTGGTTGAACGGTTTTTGCAGGGCTGACCTCACAATATGTCTGTCCTCTCGGGCGTTATTCATGGAAGGGCGTTGAGATCCTGAATGCCGCTCAGTATGACCCACAGCAACCCACTGATTCTATATTCCCTTGACAGAGATTGGATGTCGACCAATGCGATGGGCGATATCACGAAACATTAATCCACACTCTTAAAAGACAACAATTCTGCGTCTATCGAATTCCAACACTTGTTGGTAAGCATTTCTTCTTATTATTGAGGCATAACACGATATTCTGAGAAAATTCGTACCTTATAAAGGGCTTTTCGAATGAGAAATCCGCTACACAACTTTTCTTTTATGCAATGCTTCAGATGTCATTTCTTCCTCCTGCGTCGTCTAAAATACGCTGAAATACTAATTCATTTGCATATTCGAACTTCTTCCTTGCTTGTGATTTTGACGTTCATCAAATCATTCCTTCCTGGTGTTGCAAGTTAAACTGCCAGCAGTGTACTTCATGCAGACATCTTACTAAAATTGCAGACGTAATCACATTGCGTACAAAAGTAAATCACTAAAGAAGAATTCAATCTTATTTCTACAATGTAACTCCTAAACTGTAATTTTCTCATTTAAGTATCAGCTTTCGAATTGCTATCAAAATTTAAATTTTTAAATACTACTAGAACAGTGTTAATATACTTTTAGTTTAAAATTTCAGGCTTCTGATAAATACACTAGCAGTATTCTTGCTAAATAGGTTTATGCAGGGTTTTGTAATAACTGTACACTTTATCTATTAACAAAAAAGGAAAAAAGAAATATATGAAGGAAAAACGAAAATACATAATTACTATTCTGTTTTTTTCGGAAGAAAGTAAAAGAAAATACATAATTACTATTCTGTTATATGAAATTCTTTGCAACTATTTAATTACTGCTGTTGCCAATTACATTTCGTTACAACTCGAGTTTCAAAAAGTTTAAGACTGCCATCTCAACAGCGGTCGCATTATCATTTGGGGACAATAACCCACATCTGCTACCATCTCCAAAATTCGCCAACCTTGTTGTATGCTGAAGGTTAATCGAATAATTATCTTGGCCTCAGTGCTGCATCAGTATATACCAAATAGATTTCTAACAATGCATTTCTCACCTTCAAGGATATGCAGCTACAATGGAAGCATTATCTGTATGCTTCACAAATACTTATTACGTCAGACATGGAACCATTATTCAAACTGTTATACTTGTTAAAGTGTTAAGAATTCCTGTTTTTTCTCAGTTGTGTTAGAAAGAGTTGGCTTTTGAGCTGTCAGTATTTTACTAGTTTATAACTAAGAAAAATTGTTCTTAATTCATTTGGGTAATACTTTTTATATAAAACTGTATATATTTCAGTTCTGAAATGAAGACTTTGTTCGAAACTTTAGTTTACTGCAGTTGTTTTTGTTATAAAATGTAACTTAAAACTTACGCAATAAATATTCTTATGTAACATAAAAGCGTTGTTCGCAACACATCATTGTCCGTAACTGCTGATTCTTTTGCGATTTTACTCTAGATAACACTATAATTTTAAGAGGTATCAGGTGCTTGTAATGTGTAAATATTGAACTTCATTTCAGTAAGTATACGCATCTGATCTGACTTTAAGTTTTCTCTTTTGAACTAATATATCAAACAAACTATACAGGAAGTAATACACATCTGGTCTAGAAAATTATGATCCAATGAATCGTTGCTTAAAAAAGGAAATAGTTTTATTGAACAGATTTGAACCATATTCAAGTGCTATCTGAAATTTTATGAAATTTATAAATGTGAAGTTCAATGAATATCTTATAACTGGACATTTTAATATCCTGATAAGAAAACTGGTTTATCATTTCGTTATGAAATTTTTCATTCTGTTGTTATTGTATGGATCATGTCAATAAACTGCTGATAAATATGAGTGTGAGGCAGAAATCGTGCATAGAATAATCCACTTAAAATTAAGAGCACTTAAAAGTCGCTTAAAATTAAAAGCTCTTAAAATACACATCCTACTTAAAATCAAGATCACTTCGAAAGGATATTATCTGAGGTTATTGCATGTTTCTTTTACATGTACCATTCATATAACATAACTTTCTTGCACGTTTAACATGCTTACGCTCCTAAGCAATTCAGTGATAATCTGGTCCATCAACAGCCGATTGGTAAGGCCCCACTTTAAAACTTTGACTGGGATTCAAATCTCAGTTAATGGGCTGGCTGAAATAATGTTTTCAGGATTTTCTCTATATTTCACGTGAATGAGAGCCAGCTTCTCTTAGACATTTCTCTAAGGTGACATCTATTCTGTTAAGCAGATAGTCTCAGCGTACTTCACTATAATCCAAAGTAATCTAACTCGACCCAAAGACTATCTCAAACGTGATATATTCGAAATTAGGACCATTAGAGTGATGGTGGCTTCCATTAGCTTCTTGCAGCTCTTGTAATGTATCTTTATATTGGGATGTATCATAAATAATACTTTTTTTCATTTGCATGTACAAAAGGTCCAGGAGTATTAGATAAACTACCTGCATCAAATTACTATGAAAGCATGTAGACATTTTACATTTTCTTATTCTCTGAGATAATTTTGAAGAGTCCAATCCGGTTTTATCAGTTCGTTTCTTTTTCAAAGCTATATGGAACTGCCAAAAGAGCATATTCGGCGTGCTTTGCTTTAAGAGTTTAGTTAGATAATTATTATTCGAAATATTGATACAATATATGGGGATCAGGCAATAAGAGTAAGCCAGCGTCAACGATGGTTCTAGAAACGGTGGTTCCAAGCCGAAGAATGAGGCTTAGAACTCAAGTCTTTTCATAGAGGATATGCAGAGCTCGACGAAAACGTTCTCCAGGCTCTGACAGGTTACAATTCCAGCGAAACTTTTATAGAATTAACAACGCATGAAGGAGAGTGTATTTTAAATTAAAAAATAACTTTATTTATCTTAATTTTTTTAAATAATCAATAAATAAAAACGTGTAATCTATGGGATGACGCATAACTCAAAGTTAGTAAGTTCATACTGACAAATGAATGACACATAGGTAGATCCATTCATGATCCATCATAAGATTCTGAGCTAAGCGATGATTTAAAATGTGTTGAGTCTTTCAAGACGTGAATCGAAGCTTCTTTTGATCTTTAAACTCCTTTCATCCATATATGTAGCAAAAAGCTTGTTAAAATGCAAAAAAAAAAAAAAAAAAAAAAAATGAGAAGTAATTTTTTATCCTAAATATAACTTTTTGTATTCATATTTAGCATATTCTATATTTTTATATTACATAACTTTTCATTTAGGAAAGCAGCTAAAGCTTTGCTGGTTCTGATTCCTCTCCTCGGTGTTACGTATGTAGTTTTCATTGTGACACCAACACACCGAACGGCCAGAGTTATCTTTTCCTACATCCAAGCCGCCCTACTCTCAACACAGGTATGTTATTACAAGAATCGATATTTTTCATTTAAGGATTCAAAATGGAAACGAAAAAGGTATCTGAATTGTTAAGGTACTGGATAATCGTTCTACCCATGCGTAAAATGTGATAAAACTAAAATAAAAATGTTTATGTATAACAATATGTATAACAATTCAAAAACTTCTTTCTTTCTTTATGTCGCTCTTCCTGAAAACCTAAATAGCGAGTTTCTTACGCCCTGTTTTGAAGCATAAGAAATTTCAGAATTAGCCTTCCCATTAAAGATAATAAAAAAGAGTTCTTAATTTGCAGTATAAAAAGCGAACAATGTTTGATTGAAAACAATGGAAATTATATATTTCAGCAGATCAGTTATATGCCACTATGTCTACAAAAGTAGCAGTCAGGTATAAAAATAGTGTAGCTATGTGCTGCAGCAAATTGTAAAATGTAGCAGGAAAAAAATTGATCTCTAATATTAGCGAAACTTTTTGCTTCACGAAAGAAAGCACTAGCAAAAATTATGCAATACATTTAATTATATTAATACGAATTCTGTATACAGATAGATAATTTTAGTGCAATTATATGTGAAATCGCTGCATTTTTCTTTGTAATGTCTCTGTCTTTGTCTCTGTTCTGTCTAGAGAAAAAAGCTATGCCGGAATACTAAGAAAACAGGGGCAAGTCCATTTAACATTGAATAAACGGGTATCTCGGTAATTTGGTAAGAAATCGCCAAACTTGACGGCCATTTGGCGACATTTAGTTTCGGTCCCTGTATCACCCTAATAAATATTGTAATTCAATAAATGTAATTCATCACTATATTAGCTGCAAGTGTAATTCTACCCTCATACTGCTTTCTAGTAATTTCGAGAAGCAGAAAGTACTAGAAACATCTCGGCGGCCGGTTGAAAACTATATAAAGCCGGCGAGAGCATTTTCTCTCAGTTTTTATTGTTACGATTTCATATTGTTGCGAGTCGGAATATTGAGATATCTCTGGGTTAGCTTTCTCTTTAGATGCGTTTTGCATTGCGTTGTGTTTAACTTCCTTAGTAGTTTGAAGTGTAACCATAATTATACTCTGTGATACTGTGAACACCTGTATGAGTATTTCTGTGGAAAATTCTAAAATCTAAAGTGTTTCTTTTGATACAATAAATTTTATTAACCTATCATCGGACCTGTGTGCATTCAGTCTAGTACCAACCCGTACGTACGCAACAATATAGTTTGTTCCATTCTTCATAGTTTTTTACTAATAATAAGTGCTTAAATTGCAAAAAGATATTAATCTATATTGATTATTTTCCTAGTGCTCGTAATTTATTATTTTGGGGTAATTATTATCAGTTCTCGCTATCAGATAAAAAGGAAGCGTTCAATATTTGCCCAGTTCTGTGGATGCCTTTAAATTGTATTGATGCTAGTTTTGAAGATTTTAAATAAATGTGATGCTCAAGGTTATGAGAGTTCGCTGATTTCTCTTTCTTACAGTTTTTGTAATTGCTGGATTTGAAATGGAGAAACCATTTCATGCTTTAGTGACTTTAAATTCTTGCTTAATAGCGCTGAGTATGCGTTTTTAAAGCCAAAAGTTACCACTAAATGATGTTATAAAGGGTACACTTCGAAATTAAATTGCTTAAATGACAGTACTCTCATACTGGAAGCAACAGACTTAAAGATCTGTGCGGGCAAGGTCATGTTAAAAAAAGTTCACTGTTATTCTATCAGAAAATTTAATTTGAGGTTTATTATGTATTTAGATATATTCTTTATTCTAAACTCAGCTGACAACTAATTTGCAAATGGAATATAAGTCGGAATTAAAATTGTAAGGTACAGAAAATTTATTCGAGTGACTTTATATAAGTTGCACACATCTTGAAAAATATTTCCAGCATTTTGTAAACATTCCCTGTTAATAATATCTCATTTTAAAAACATGTATTTATATTAGTATGCAGTTTGTTTCCCTATGAAGTATACTAAAATTTAAAAAAAAAAAGCTAAACTTTGAAAGTAACATCTTGGACTATGCTTTTTGCTGTCTAGATTTGTCACACCATAAAAGAGGTCAATGCTCGTATTAAAAATGTTATGTTCAATATTCCTTTCTTATCAGATACTTTCAGATTAGAGCAATGCAATATTAATATAAGTTATAATTAATTTAATTAATATTAAATTCGTGTATGTCATATTTGCCTTGTTACTGTGTAGAGACATTAGGCAATTTTTGGAAGCAGGCATAATGAAAAATGTGCAACGCCTTCGCCGGGAATGGAACCGCGGACCTCTCAATTACGCGCTGAGCGTGCAGACCACTACACCACGAAGGCTCGCTAAGAAGGCGAGAGAAATACCTTAGAACTGTCTTATAACTCTGGTGCAGTGCAGTCCTTGTCAAATTTTTGTTTATCGCTCAAGATCATACCAAATTGAAAAATCAGAATTCATCCTCTGCACGTGATGCAATTCTTTCTACATGTAACCTGAAGTTCCTACTGAACATGCTAAAGTTCATTCTGAACATAAAAATCCTTCTATATCCAACTGGTAATCCGAAATTTCTTTCTACACATAAGTGCTGAAGGTATTAAGTTAGTCAAGGGATAAGGTTTACGTTAGTTATTTCTTATGTTAAATCTTTCCTACACTTCTGTTATCTCGTCTACGTTGCCAATATATATAAATGAAGTCAGTTTTAATTAAGGAGCAAAAGTTTAAGAAAGAGAACATTATCAACCTGAGCGTTTCTTTTCAGTGGTAAAATTTCTGTATAAGTATGCTACGTCTCCCTTTAACGCTATTTCTACTAACTGGTGTGTTTATCTGTGATTGAAAGTTATGTTAGACGTGGAACAATAGAACTATGTTATTAAACATAGTTCTGGTATTAGCATAACTGTTCTGTTATTAACATTCTGTTGTTAGCATAGCTTTAAAGTTAAACTTTGAATTTGTAAATATTTTGAATCTTAGTTGTCTGTCCATCCCGTAATATGAAAGAATAATTTAGTTAATCTTTTTATTTCGACAACTTCAGGTACAGTATATTATATGTGTGTGTGTGTGTGCATATCATCTGAATGTATATATATATATGTCATGATTTCAAAATGCGTAGATGAAAATACTGCAACCCTTAACAGCTTACGAAGCTGCGTAGATGACGGAGAAGACCGCAGTGGCTTGAAAGTGACAAAGTGGAAAGTCTGATGACGTAATTTAGCACAAAGTATCTGGAAAAATTACAATCTTTTATTTTTTCCACGCATATCAAATCATCCTTTTTCAGACAAGATGTTCCCTAATTATATTTGAATACATAAATTGCATTTTGAATTAGAACGTCATCTTAAGTGAACAGCAGGAGCTTGCTTTAACAGCGTCTTGGCAGCAGGAGAGCTATGCGAAAAAGGGTAGAATATCATAGAACTTCAGAGGAAGAAGGGAGGGAGTCGGAAAAGTTTCATTTCAGACTCCTGGTTTACAATTTATTTGATTGGACAAGAGGCATCTGCATTAAAACGTAAGATAGAAAAATCTGGAAGCTGTAGAGAAGATATGAATTTGGGGGCAGATCACAAAATTTAGAATGTTAATTTTAAGGTCGCCAATTATTTTTTTTGAAACAGCTATCATATTTTTTTATATCTTACATATATATGCACACATATGTATGATGATACAGCGCACTGTTCATCACCTGTTTCTTTCAGCTGTGACTAGAATCTTACATATTTCTACCTGATGTAAGTATGGCTTCTGCAAGCCATTGTTTGTCAGTTGAAGCATTTCACGCAGTAAAACAGTGTTATAATTTGATACTGAAAAGTAAATGAAATACAAATATTGTATTTAAAAAAAGCAGGAAAACTTTTTTTAATAAAATTTATGGAATTAAATTATATCACATTTTAATAACTTTTTTAGCTTCTAAAAGAAGAAGCTTTTTTAATCTTGATTTTTTTTTTCAGGGTTTTACAGTAGCGGTCCTGTATTGCTTTCTCAACGGCGAGGTATGATTCAAACTTTAAAATTTAATTACTTTAAATTTTAAGTGCGATTTTAAGTGAAATTTTGATTTAGTGTGTTTTACTGTACAAAATTCCCATTTTTCCCCTAAAATTAAATTTATACTTAAAATAATATGGATATAATTAATATTTTTGACTTTCAGTTTTATATTATGCATAATGTTTAGCAGAATTTTCTAAATTGTGCAAGATTAAAAATTATATCTTTTGAAAACTATACTTATTTATTTAAATTATTTTACATCATTATTCATATATCCCCTTGTTAACTCTGTGGAATCATTAGGTTTTTCTTTTGAAACAGGGCACATGGAAAAAAATAAAATGCCTTTGCCAGGACTCGAACATGGACTTCTCGAATGTGCACCGAGTGTGTTACCGTTACACCACGAAAGCATTCTGCAAGGATGGAGAAAATACCTTATATACTCCCCCTTTTAAAAGGCCACTGGGAATTAGGGTCAGTAGCCAAATCCTGGCCGTGACGAGTTATTGTCTAGTACCTTTTACATCGGGCGCCATTTGTAGTGTCATTAGGGTTTTTGATGCTGACTCGCTGGGACTCAAACTCCGGAGCTCTCAAATATGCGTCGAGTATGCATGCTTCCAGTTAACCACGAAGGCAGGCGAAAGGAAGAAAGAGTATATCCTATAGTCTAACAAACTTCGATTTTAAAAAGTAATATCTCTAGAGCTTCTCTAAAGCCAAAACATTCTATCTGAATTTTAATAATATTGGTCTCAAATTATGGGACTAAACGTTTCGGTTTCATTCATGTAATCGAATATGATGAATATGTGAGGGTTGAAATATGCCCGGAAAATGAATTAGTAATTTTGCTATTATTTTTTTTTCTTTTTGAAAAATATGCGAAAAGGTTTCATTCATCCATGGACTAATTTCTTACCCAAATTTCATAGCTATTTACAGCATCCCAAATATTTTAGAGTTATGATACTCATTTATGACTTCTGAATGCGGCATACAATTTATCATTATCTAATTAATACACATAAGACATAAAAGCATTTTTTGCGATTACAAAATATGTGAATAAACATTTTTTTTTTTTTTTTTTTTTGAATAATGTGAGAAGGCACGTCTATCTGTGAACTTCAAGCATAGTTCGATGTTTAACATAGCCAGGATATGTTTTATCTTAAACAGATGAAAAAGAACTAGGGTTTCGCCCTCCGCGTCAACTTAAAATTATTGACTTTGGTTCCCCATTCAATGCGTACTCATTTTCAGACTGATATATTCCAGACTTCTACCAAGTATAAAAGGCTAGATGCTGGAAATTAATTTTCTTTCTCTTTACCCTGAACGTTTTAACTGAATGCATTTCTCTTTTAAATTAGAAGAGAAATAATCCACTGTAAAACCCAAAATTAGGCAAAACAGCAACCTTATTTTGGCGAGGATTTTGAGCAAAACTAACGATTTCGAGACGGATCAGATACAAGCCTCTTTTCTTCAGGAGCCAAAGGACCAAAATATATATGTTTTGGAGTTGCTATGTTTAACAACCATATCATAAGTTTTAAAACAGTGAGCATAAGTTTTAAACAGTGAACATAAAATGAAATAAATACATAACAAAAGTTGAGGAAAAATTGTAAGAATTTAACATGACTTGAGAAACTTTAAGAAGAAAAAAAAAATTCTTAAGTACATTTAAAAATTTTCCAGTCTGCAGAAACGTGGAAATAGAATAAAACATCGAGAAAATTAGTAATAAATATGAAAATGAAGCTATTACAATTCTAAAAGAATTAGAAAGGAGTCTATTGAAATTAATGTCATTAAATATAGAAGATAAATTTTTGTGAACATGAAAAGCTTCAAGAAAATTCATTTCATCAACTGAAAAAGCTTTATGGATACTTTTCATAAGAGTCAAAATTCTGATCGTCTTTCCAACTATGATTAGCTATAGAAGATTTGTTCGTTCTAAAATTTAACATTATTTTTAGTTTCATCGATATTTCTGAAACTCCAATGAAAATAAATACTGTATATTCTTCAAGAATTAAAATGAAAGGCGAAATATTTATGGTTTGAATAACGAATTTTATTCATAGCTTAGAAAATGACCTGCAAGTTTTAATTTCTGGATAATCCGCGCTATTTTATAACCGATGGAAGAATGAAATAGAATGATGACAAGATTATTAGTGTTATTTCTAACAATAGAATGTCTCTTTTGAAGGCAATATGAAAATTTCTTAAAAGATTTGTCAATGGTCATGACAAAAAATCTTCTGTCAATAATAACTGAATTCAAATAATTGAGTTCATTACAAAGCAAAGATTCTGAAGAACAAATTTCGGGAGATGCTATGTGCATAATAGTAAAAAATCCATTTTTTGCTTAGCAAGGTGACATGATTGAGCATCGGAAGGTAACTAAACAGTTTACAGTAAAAATAGTCTAGAATCGAGTTCCTTGCGGATAAATTAGAAGAAAGGGAACCATGAGATTCAATTTCGAAAGAGAATTGGATGGCTGGGTTGATCGAATGCATAACAGGTAAAATCTAGGATAAATCTTTAATACCATCAAAAAGAATGAATGTGTCATCTGCATAACGAATCCAGAGCCAAAACGATAGTTCTCAAATTAATTTGTTTTCAGAACAAGTGTGTATATTAAGATACAATAACACGCCGAACAAGTATTAATTTAGAAGTCAAACAACAAAAATCAGCATTATATTTTCAAATTTTCACAGGACTGGTTTCGATGGTTTTACAGAGCCATCAGCCTCAGCTACAAAGCGCAAATGAACAAGATAAGTTATAGTGATTAGATAAGATAAGAAAGACTGGATAGGAATTAAGCTACTGGCGTCATCTATTGATGAAACGAGAACTAAAACATAATTTCCTTAAAAGCTGAAGGCTAAGATGGATTGGAATTAGGGTCGTTAACTAGAACAGAAAGATTCTTTTGATTGTGAAATGCCTCTAGAAAATCTAATTCACCAATAGAAGATGCTTTTTAAATAATTTTGGCTGCTGAAAAAATTCAAAGTGTGATATTTGGACCAACAATGCTGGGCAACAGTAGACTTCTGTGTTTCTAAATTAATTGTGTTAATTCTAATTGTGTGTATATGTCAGCAAGTACTTACTGAGGCGATTATCCGTAGTTAATATTTCAATTTGTCAGCAATAATTATTCTAAAAGATTGAATATGTTTTACTCAAACTTTAGGGAAAGAAATTAGTTCCTCAATTTCAGTATCAATAAAATGGAATTCTTTACGTCTGGCTTCCAGGCATTTCAATGTTCTGTTAACAGGAATATTACTAAACAGTGAGAAAACATCCTAAACGTTGAGAAGAAATATCCTTAAGTTTGTTGGAAATTTCAAAAGAAATTATACAAAATTGTTAAAATGTAGAGGGGAAACTTCAGCAACTAAATATTTACTCAAAAGGCATGATATTGCTCCTGAAAGCTAGAAAATATAGAGCAAAACAAATCCCAGTTTTTGAACTTTGGGAAGAGCCTAGCACAGTTACGAATAGGTAGAATGAGCAGTTTTGTAACTTGAGTTGGGAGTTACGAAAATAATAAATGAAGACCCTATCCTGCTTGATCTTTTAAATATCCTTTCACTACTCACCTCGCGAAAGTTAAAACAGCTGTTAAGTGTCCTTACATACCATCACTCAGCTAAAAATTTCGCTCATTCGACCTATTGCTAATTCTACTGTGGGGGGAGAGTTGAGATCACTGTGCATTTCTACCTGGTGAAAAATGAAAAAAAGAAAGTGAAATTACATTCTGTGAAACGTTAATATTGTTTATCAAATTATATCGAAGAAAGAACTTTTTTATTCTCACTTATATTGCGAATCAAAGAACACAATTTCAAATGTACACACATCAAACAGAGGAAATTGTGCCATTATATACCATATAACGGTAATAGATTTTTAATATAATGGAAAACTTATACTTAAGCAATTCAATCAAAAAAACAAAACTTAATACTGTTTATTATCAAGACCCAGTGTTCTAGAATTATTAATCCTCCCATCACACTATTGCACAGCACATTGATTTTAAAAAAATTGTTTCCACTATTGCATAGCACAATGATGTTATTTTATTTGTCCTAGATAACACCTCTAGCAATACATTACGATCAACAATAAAAGTATGCAGAAAACCTAATATAAAAACCGAATTAAACTTAATTTATCTAGCTATTTCTCTGTTGAATTTCGACCTGATGGAATTTAGAGTTTTTGTAGTGAAACAAACTACGTCCCACAACATCACAGGTTTTACAGAAGGCAATTTTGTAGTTTAAATTTTCATATTTGAAAAAAAAAATCTTCTGTCGATACAAGGGTGCGGTTAAAAATTAATGCGTTCAGATATAGTTTAGTAAATCTACAACAAATGTGCCCTTAAGTTTTTTTAATTCAACATTTCAAATCTTATTCTTCTCTTTTATTTTGTAATGACAGTTCGAAATAACCAGTTCGTGAAAAACTAAATAATATTAAACGTTTTGCTGTTTCTCCATTTTCAGGTACGTAAATCTGTTCGACATCATCTTGAACAGTGGAAAGACCAAAGAGGTCTTGGTAGTAACAGGAGACAAATGCGTATCGATGGATCCAGAAGTACAGATGGGGGATTTCGTCTTTATGCAAACAGAGGTGTGCGTGACAGAACCAGCTGCATTAGTTTGTCGACCAGCGGAACATGGGTGGGCAGTTACCCCAAATCTGTTCAACCTACAGGACAAAGACCAAGTAACGGTTCATACAGTCAAATTCCTGTACGAGATGATGCCATATGAATACCACATCATATAAGAAGATGTTCTAATCTACAGATATTTAAACTTCGATATCTATCAGTGTAAACTTGTTAAGTGTGTTTGTTACGTACTAATGTCAAATGGCATGTTCAAGTCATTTTTACCATCATATGATTGGAGAACAAGAACTGTAGCATTCCCGGGGTTAATTTTTTGTATGCTCGCTATGTAAATTATAATTGTTGACACAAACAGAATTTTCCTTTCATTTCAAATACAAGAAAGTTTACGAAAGTAGAAAATGTGTATCAAATTGACGCAATAAACAAAATGTGCTTCTGATTTAAATACTGTGAGCTATACTTCGATTTAGGACGCAAAAACCATTGAAAACTAGATCAACAGGCTTATAACGACTTCATTACTGTTTAAAGTAATTGAAAACCATTTAAGATGGCACTTCATTGTCCAATTTTTAGGAAAATAGATTTTAAAAAGCTAAATTATAATATTTTATATAATTTTTCATTTTTCGTCTTATACATTGACGTTTTTATTCTAAAGTTTTAAAAGCTTATTTCTATACTCAAGACTCTAGACTTTCAAATCAGAAAAGTCAGTGAAGACAGCATATTAAATGTATATCTTTTATAAATTATTTAACCCTCATTTGACAGTTTTATAATAGTTAATAGTAACCTTCATTTGATAGTCATATAATTTTTCTGTGCTTAAAGAAAATTTGAAATGTACAAGAAGGTGTATAGAAAGTTGCTTTTAGATTATATAAAAATTAGGTAATACTTAATTAAAATTAAGGTAATATCTTAATTACCTGAAGTCAAAGCAAAAAGAAATTACAGTGTTTATTACGTTAAATACTTTATAAATTGATAGCCCCTACTTTCTGTCAAACTTCCGTCAAAGTGAATTATATCTGTGGCTAATAATATACAAAACCTTACCATACATATGTATACTACTATGTATACTAGCAGTGAATAAGAATCTTTAAATCTATATTTAAATTTTAAACTATCTGAAATATGTATATTGATAGACATTTTCTTTTCTATTAATATAAAATTAGTACTTAATTTTACCACTAGTTTTCTCAAGCAAATGAAAATAATTTACATTACACTACCTGGAGTATTTTTCGATTTAATAATTTTGATGATATGTTTTAACAATATTTATTAAAAATAATTAAAATTTAAGGGAATTTGCGTGTAATGCATTTCAGGAACATTTAATATATTAAGAAGATTCGTATGCCGATTGTTTTCTGCATACACTTTTAACAGCTTAGTAATTAAATAATGCAGGAGACTTATACTTGTATATAAGTAAATTTATGTTATGCGTTAGTGGAACATAAATATTATCATAAATGTTGTGCTGTTTTGTGGACTATAAATACTGTCATTCTTAGATGTGAAACTTTCTCAAATATTGCTCAGAAGAATAATCTTGCCATAAGATTCAATACCCGTCGGGTCTACAAAACAGTGCAAAGTACTTTTAATAATTTGACTGACCTGGAAATAATTCTCGATTTATAAAGTGAAATTTTCCTTTAGCTGTGTAATTTTGAAAGAAGATAGAAAACTGTCATGAAAAATGTACTTGGTGCCTAATATATTTGCCAAAATGACTTTTGACTCAGATGTCAAAAGTCGTTATCGATTTTTGACAAATCTATAATTTTCACATACAAAAGGCGAACCATTAACTGGAGAATACTTTTAATGCTGACGCGCTTCTCTTCGGACATGATAATATTTTTATGTAAAGAATTCAAGAACTTTTAATACACTAAGTGAGACTGTAAGGAAGGGCTCTTAGAAGCTTTTATGGTTCAGTATTTCATCGCCCAAATTTCCATATCCTCAAGTATTTGGAATCCAAAGATTTTGCTGAATATCTTTTTGCTACCAAACGAACTTACTAAGAGTGTGCAGTAAAAAACTCTTCTAGTTTTGAAATTTAAATGGAAGCATTTCATAAATTCATTTTATTTCTTACTGCTTAATAAATATTTTGTAAGTATACAAAGCCCAATACTTATTTTATGAAGTACTGAAGAATGGAATTTTTACATGTTAACATATATGAGAGTTGAGCAGATTTTTTCATTTATCATTTAAGTCATCTCCTTATTTACCACAGTATTTGTCTTTTTAAGTGGCGTAAAATCGTTAAAATTACTATATGTGTCGTCTGAAAGAAATTGTGACTAAATGTAGTGGTGTTATGATATTTTGCATGCTGTATTTTCTAACTAAAAGCTTGTATTTAAACTAAACTCGTCGTTTTCAAGTAATTTTAATTTATTCGGTCAGAAATGGTTTTCAAACTGATTATTCGCATATATGTTTTATTCATTATTTTTAAAACTAAGGTCTTAAACATATTTCTGCTTTTATAATATCGGTTAATAAATGTAATAGTAAGGCTTTTATTCATGTTTTATCATTTAGTAACTCCTAGTGAATTAAAATTTGGTTCTCTCTAAAATCGAGTTAAAGAGTTTTTAAATCAAGATCTCGAATTCCTACAAGCGATGTGACATGAAACATAAAAGGAAACTCAGTCATTCAGTATATATACTGTTCTAATTTTAGAAGATTCTTATATTTTGGAAGATTTTTCTTCATAATATTATGCTTAAGAAAGTTAAGCGCATTTTCAATTACCAATATTATTATATCATGTAAAACTGCTGCCATTCGAATTACCTTTATCTTAAATACTGTTATAAGTACTTAATGCAACATAATACGAAATTTAATGTTAATAATAAAAAGACGCAAAAAAAGTTTTGTAAGCCATCTTACTAGGAAAACTGAATTGTTGATATGACAAATTGAAAAAAAGACTGAAAAAAAATAGATAAATGTATGCTAGCATTTAGCATTGCCTCGGATATTCTAAACAAATGCTGCTGTGCTGCTTTTACAATTTTTGTAAAATCTGAATTGTATATAGCGTAAGTACGAAGAAAATGGTGCTTTATAGTAAAGGTAGCAGGAGCGAGTGCAACAGCAGACTGGTTAGACTGCTACCTCAGCGAGAGCGTAAAAAAAAATTGACAAATTCTTTTGGGTGATCGTTAAAAATTAAGGCTGTAATTAAAATAATTAAGATGTAAAATTGTTATTTTGCAGCAAAATGTATTAAAATGGACCCATTATAAGTCCATTTTAATACATTTTCTTCTAGAAATTTTCATATATTTAACATTTTCTCTAAGTAGACTGAAAAATATTTGCATAAAGAAAGGGCTAATGTGAACTGTAAATTGACATACTATGATAACCATTTAGCTTCAAAGATAAAACTTTTAAATGAAGAAAATTCATATTATATTATTGTAAACTGATAATTTAACTATGCTATCTAACCATATATATCTAAATACAATGAAAACATTTTTGTCTTATCCGCTTCTCCCAAATATTTGACACATTTAAAGAAATTAAATTTCGAATTCCACTACTTCTGCTGCGCGTTAAGAATATTTATTTAACTAGGTCATATTTATTTGTTCGCGTTATTTTGTTTTATACGTAAATATTTAAACTGCTATAATGCTGCTGCTGCAGTAATGTTGTTATAAAATAATCTCGCAAATCTTAACTATTTGTAGAATACTCTTTGAATTAATACTTTTCGAGTCTTAATACTTTAATAGATAACAGAAATTTCATGCTTACATTTAATTTATTATTTCACATTTTCACTGGAAGTTATCATTATATTGAATGCTCATGAACTGATGTTTACTTTATTTAATTAACCAAAAACTTATAGCAATACATATAAACTCTAATTTATAATAAGAATCGAAAAATAAATTTTACAAACTACCATTTGTTAGAAATATATATATATATCAAAATGAGACATATAAAAATAAATCTCTCTGTAAATAATATTACATTTATGCAAGTGAAAAATGTGCACCTAATGAAGTAAACTGCTTAAAAAAAAGCTTTTTACACCCTCCTGTGGCAGATCGTGCAATTAAATGCTATTTCGGATGCTACGATTTTTAATAAATAGCGATTTTCTTTACAGCTTGTGAAAATAAATGTGTATTTTTTAAAAACGTACACAGCGCAAAAAACAAATGGGACAGTTCTATATCTCCCGTTCTACTGGGACGATTGACGAAATTCAAATTGCGTTTTTCATGTCTAGAAAGCGCGACTCAGGATATATCTTAGATTTGTACATAGCATTGTTCTATATTTCGATTCTACGATTCAAATTATGGCTAAATATTTAATTTTGTAAAATTTGGTGCGAATTTAACGGCTTGGTTTGGTTTATTTAATTATGGCAAAGCACACTAGGACTATCTGCCTAAGGGGAGGGATACCTTCGTGGAGGACTTTCTAATAGGAACTGGCTTGTATACACGTTACACATGGGGAAAACCACGAAAACGCCCATGCTGCCAGCCCATTCGCGGGATTCTAACCTCGGACCGAACTACCAGTGTTCAGCGACTTTACCGCTCGGCCGCTAGTGGGCCCGCGAACTTAACGTAATTTTAACTGAGAAATTCAAAAATTTACCTTGACGCATTTCTTTTAGCTTGCGACAAGAATAATTTAATTGGCGAACTTCTTAATGTATAGCAACCTATTTTCCTTTCCTTTTTTTCATTGTAAATGAGCAGGAAAAGTCATCGTTCATTTTTTCAAATAATTTAAAAAAGTGTGTAAACCACATTTAGCGTTATTATCGCTTATAACAAATATGCCAAATTTCAAAACGCGCCAATATATAAATTCAAGTATATATCCTATGAAATTTTGAATAAAAAACTCTATTTTTACTAGTATGCTTAGAAATGCATCTACTTTAAGATGATAGTAAATATTTTATAGGTTATAATTCAAAATGTTTTCGAAAAATTTATAAAAATTATTTAAAAATAGAGATTTTAAAAATAAATCATAAAAAATGAGCTAATTTTATTTCCAATGAACCTAATTTTCGAATTCTGGAAGAAGGAATCAATTAAGTTTAATAAAACAAGAGGTATAATAAATATATATTCAAATTCAATTAACATTGAGAAGCTAATTTTGAGAGCTAATTTTTAAAAAAATACTCTCGCGATTTTTACAAAACCTGGCAGTTTGACATAATTTGGGTCGTAGAATCGAAATATTGAAAACAATGGTATGTCTTTTCAGAAAAGTTTGATTTTATTTCAAAGTACCTATATTAGAACAATGTTATATATAAATCTAATACATATTGTAAGTCGCGCTTTGGAGACATGAAAAATGCAAGCTAAATTTCGTCAATCGGCCCAGTTGAAAGAGAGATATAGAACTCTCCTTCCCCCTTTTTTTTAATTGTAAACTTCTGCCATATTAAATATGTCAAGAAATCAAAAACTGAGTTTAGATTATATTAAATGTCGTTATTAATTATAAGTAACTGAAGTTTTTATTTATATGAATGTTTAATAAAGTCAAAACAGTTCTTGGGTTCTTGCTGCATGGTTAATTTCCTAAAGGCTGTGTTTAATAGAAGAGTAAGACACATATATCAGTCTTGAAGTGGAATATATATATTCATCTTCATGTAACAGGTTCATATATATGAACTATATTTATTCAGTTGCTGTAAAAAATATCGAAATAAAAAATTTCATCATAACTTTTTTCTCTATTACCATTTTTGAATCTTTTCTGAACGTAATATGCGAAACTTTGCGAATACGTTCTTGAATTTTCATGTATGCATTTATTGTATATCATGGTATCATTAACTAGAAGTAGGAGAGTAACTTTGTATGCTTTCGATTAAAATTGGTGTGTGCAGTGTTAATTTGTCCAGTATCAGTTTTGATCTTATAAGACAATTTATTGTCGTTATATGTTTAAACCACTGACTATGACTTGTTAATTGATATGTTTGTATTGTGCCAAGAATATTGCAATAAAGACTTGTCCATGATAACTATATGCGTAAATGTGCAATTCTTTTGTTAAAGGTGATTTATTCCACAATATGTTTGAACTATGTTGACCAATTAAATATTCAGCATGCTATTTCTATTGTAACAGTGTACAATGGGAATTGTAAAGTTTAACTTTCTTGTGTATCATCCAATTAAAATTTCATATATATGCTAAGCGACTTATGGCTGAGTCTAAAAATACCACAGAGACTTGAGAATGTTGTAAAAGACCTTTTATTTGAAACTAAATAAGTTGAACCTAGGGCACTCGTTGTGCTTGCAACTCCAAAGAATTTATGGCAAGAAACTTCAAAGCCTGTAAGTCAAATGTGAAGCTAAATTTAAATAGACAAATAGTAGTAGTAACGGAGGACGTGGGCACCATCCCTCTGCCATTACGGTTAATCGGTTCTGCCCACGTCCGCCCTTATCTAGTATTTATTAATAAATCCAATTTTACATTGTAACAAGTAATAGTAAACATTGTAATGGTTTTACATTACAAAAAAAGTAATAGTTTTTACATTACAAAACAAGTAATAGTTTTTTACATTGCCATATATAGTGTGCCATATAGTGCATATAAAAAAATAAATAAAAATAAAAATCTTAAAGTAGTACTTTATAGTCCTTCATGAAGTGTATCTTTGTAAGTAATTCTTTATAAAATGTCGAAATTTTTCCTTAGTAAAAAACGTATGAATCTCATTCCCTCGTTCTTCTTCAAGAAGTTCTTCTCTTTCTTTTTTCTTCTTTTCTTCGTTCTTCTCTTTCCTTTAATCTTCCTTTCATTTAATCTTCGTTAAATCTTCCTTTCTTCTATCTTAATTTCTTTCCTCCATTTTACATGTATTTTCTTCCTATATATCCTTTATCTTTTTACTTAATATAGCGAATAAGAAATCCATCTTTATGAAATACTTGTTAACATATTCTTTCCATCTTCTACAGAAAAATTTCCTTTTTCTTTTTAAAACCTTTATTTGAAATTTTATACCTTTTTCCTTTAAAATCTTTTTCCTTTGAAGCCTCCTTCTTCTGCCTTTCCATAAACGATTAAGTAGTCCTTCATTAGCTATATCATTTTGAATACTACTCCCTATTTCCTAAATTTATAGTTATCTTTATACTATGGAGTAAATTCATCTATATCTCAAATCCTTAAGCTTCTTCTACTCAGCAGCTTATTCTTCTCTTCCTGTAACTTCCGTTATGTTCCCTTTATTCTTCATATAAAGGACAAATATGAAATCCATCATTATGAATTATTTCTTCTTAAATTTTCACTTCCCTTTTCATTAATTTCATCTTCTTCTCGTCCTCTTGGTTTCTTCATAAATAACTTAAAATCTTATTCTCTATTTTTTAATAAAACATCTTCCTGTAAAATTTCCCCCTTCTTCTTTTAATGAAACATTCTTATTTATTGAAAAATGTCTTAACTAGTAAATAGACAGTATATTTTAATAGACAAATAGTCAAAGGCTACACAGAGCAACGTAACGCAAAGTTGGCTCAGAATTTCACAGGCGTGAAGTTCAACTATCGGCAATTATAATGCAAGGCCGAAGACAGGAACTCGTATCTACAATAGCAAACCTACAAACGTGGTAAAAAGTGGCAGAACACATTGTATCTTAACAATCTCAAAACCTCCCTCAAATACTCCCGAACCAATTTGCATTCTGCGGGAAACCGAAAGAGAAAAGTAAATTTGCTACATAAAATAACTAGTTAATCAAATTAAAGTAACCTCACAGTAAATTTACAGATAATTACAATTGCCGTAGTTCGGTAAAATCGCCAATTAAAACCGGTTTAGCTGTATTTTTCTTTACAAAACATTATTCAAAATCTCGGATGCAGCATCCATTAAAACAGTTATTAAAAAAATTATATAAAAGTAAACTAAATTCTAAATATAAAATAAAAAATAATGAACATAAACGTAAAAAGCAAGTCAAGACATTTTGCGATATGTTGACAAATCATTCTATGTGTATGCATTATTCTTAACCCAGAAACCTTTGAGATAAATCTTCACTCGTATAATATTTCATCATTTTTCAATATTAATAAGTTCTTCTTAAACGTAGGAGGAAGGAAAACATAATTTGCCCAAACTTTAGTCTCTTAATTGAGATTTAGTTTTTGTATAAAATAGCGCCAGCAGCTGAAAAGAGCTTTCCAATGTACATATGTTTGGTTGTGATTGGAAAATTATATTCCTCTCGGAATATTGTTTTCTCTTTATTTTTTCCTGCTTAAAATACTCCCCCATTACCTTTTTTAGGAACTGACTCGATTTCTTATTATAGTTGTGTCTTCAAGGGATACTTCTTTATTAAGAATAGAAGGTTTCTCTTCATTGATAAAGTAGCAGTACATATCGAATTAATCGGGATTTGAGAATTTCGAGAATCAGCATTTTGACAGTATAGTAGCACGTGATTTATTCCTAGACAGAGGGATTCTAAAATATCTGACAAAAATAAAAGGCAATTAGAGGTGAAATATAAAACAGTTAGAAATATAAAACAATTAGAGGAGAAAATAGTATATACATAAATGTTAGATAGATATCAAATGTAAAGTCGTAAACATCGTTTCATTCCTTACGAACAATATTTTGGTCATGTATTAAGAGTTTTCCTAATAACTATATTTGTAAATGTACTAATTCTTTTCCTTTGATTTATGTTGCAATAATTCAAACTGAGGCTATATATATGAGCCTCATGCTTGGTTGCAATGATGAATGTTATTTCGAATTCTTTCCCGTTAAATAATGGATTACATTAAAGATTACGTTAGTTTTGCTTAATACACAATCGACTGTAACATGAGCCGTGTCTTAACTCATCATTTAAGACATTTAACTTATCATTCCCAACGATTGCTATACCGCCCTTCTATAAGCACTGAGAAGATATTAGCAGAAAGCGTTGCTGATCTGAAAGTAGAAGGACACTGAGCAATAAAAACATATGGGCAATAAAAACACGCTTGGAAAATTTACTTTTCTAAACATTTTGGGAGCAAGTTCACTTGATTTCTACGAATATTATAGTCACTCATCTTTATACCAAATCTCGCATGTGTGAGAACGGAAGTTTCTCAAACCACGCAGTTTATCATCATGGACACTATCGTAACATTAATCGGAATCGCAGAAATACACGTGCATATAAATATTCGCCAAACAGGTTTTCCTCCCTCTTTC